TGGTCATAGCAGCTGACCTCAATTGCCACCATCAGGCCCTGGGTGACCGCACTACCACGGCCCTGGGTAGGCTACTGTTCCAGTTCCTACTTGACTCCCAACTGGTCCACCACATGACCCCACCCACAAGGTACCCGTCTCACGTAGGCCAACATCCAACGTCCCCTGACAAACTCATGTCCTCAGCTTCCCTGTCCAGGAAAATCAGAAACATCTCTTCCGGCTACGACATAGGCTCAGACCACATCCCCCTCCTTTTCGAACTGAAGATCACGTCCTTCCCCTTAAAAACTGACACCCAGGACGCTATGGTGATAACTGATTACCGAAATGCAGACTGGGAACACTACACTCAGGCACTCACTGACACACTAGCACCTCTGACTCACCTTCCACCCCCCCCCCCTACTCCACAGCTCCGTCACCACAGCTATCATTGCTGCAAAGACCTCTTCAGTCTCAGTTAAGAGAGTCCTTCGGACCCCTCTCAGGCTTCCCCCTAACACCCTGGCCCTCATCAAAGCCAAACGCGCGGCGCCTCCTACTCCGCGATCCTGCCTCCCCCTACCTTCACGACACCTACAAGGCCTTGGTGGAAATCGTAAAGTTGGCACAATTTCTATTAATTATCCTCTAGATCCATCACAAAACACTAATCAACCCGGCACAGGTGAGCAATGCGGTACAGACACTTGTGACTCGACCACAAGTGCGGGACTGCACTGCCCTGCGCTGCGCCATAATATGCGCGTTTCCTAGCAAACACATGGTTTACAAAACACTGCCCTGCGCTGCACTACGCTGCGCTGCTCCGACTGTGTCTCAATATGCGCCGGGCCTTACTGTATTTCCAATGTTTTTAAGTGATTGCTATAGCAATTACATTTGTTGTACTTGTTTGAGCTTATCTTGGTACGATGAACACTGTTAGCGTCTTGAATTGGGTATTCTAAGGTCTTTGAAATCCACAAAACAGTTCTTATTAGTTTGAATCGCACCAAAAAACTTAAAATAAACTGACAATGGATAAGGCATGGGTTATCACGGTTCAACATAAGCCATCCTCCATCAATTTCTTTTCAGGCTAAATCAATTAGTCCACTCTTAACACTACACTTAAACATTATTGTTGGGAAATGTTTCTGGAACGATAAGAGTATTGCCCAAGAAACATTTACCGAACCAGAGTAAAATTCAAAGAACTCAAATCTTTATGAACTCACATTATTTTGTAAACATAATAATTATGGGTCAATAGACCTACAGTAGAACCCCTCATATCCGGCCTTGGTTTTACCGGTCCTCTGTTTATCCGGCCCCTTCCAGGAAGCCAAAATCAAAATTTTTTTCTCACAGCTTATAGACACTTAGATGCAAGCACTAGTCTTTGTGACTGCTCAAGTCATAAAATAAATTGTTCTCACTATTTATCTGTTTGTTTATACATTTATTTGCTGAGTAACTATACTCAGTTGAGCTAGTAGGCTTAACCTCTGATCAGTTGGTTGATTATTTCCAAAGTGGGTTTAGTACAGTACAGTACGAGTACATTAATTTTTGTATTTCACAAAATCGTTAAGAATGTTGAGTAGAAATGCATGTACCATTTAAGTCCTAATGATCTTTAAGTACAATTTATTGTCATTTTTACTTCCATTTAATATGTTTTGTTACCTGGAATCATCATATTTGTATATTCATTACTTAATGACTTTAACCTACAAATATTTTTTTCCCTTTTTACAAACATGTTTATTTTTCTAAAAATGATCCCAGAACAGAATTAAATGATACTTTTGATTGCATATATATGATTACCTATTATTATTAGGTATGAATTGTCATTTTCATAGTAGGTTGGTTTATCCGGCCAAATCGTTATCCGGTCAGGGGCTTGGTCCCGTGGTGGCCGGATATGAGGGGTTCTACTGTATCACAATACAAGATAAGAAAAATTTAAATAAAGACTCTGTTTATGTGCCCATCCTGGGTACAAAATTAACTTTTAGTAAAATTATGACAATTTAATTTTTATTTCTAGATAATTATAAGCGATTTTGTCTTACTTTCACTCATTTATAACTTCTTATTGACACTCTGCGGCACTTGTATGATACAACTAGTGTCCCTTTAATTCTAAACCATGTGCAAAAATTTACTGTTTATAGTTTTAAAAAACCGATACAGTGTGCGTAATCACAATGGTATTTATGTTAAATTGTGTTTGAATTTACCTATTCCATGATAAGGAATGTCTCGGCTGGTGGATGGTGACAATCCTCAAAGGCCCTGTCACACATGGCGAGTTTACTCGCTGATAAACTCGCCGCTATTAGTTGTCGCTACTTTAGTCGCCACTTGTACTCGCAGGCTTGAAAAACACTTCCAGTCACACATGGCGAGTTGTAGCGGCTACTTCAGTCTGGTTGTGTAGAATAAATTACTGTGCTGAGGAAAATGTAATCTTTGGTATTAAGGAGGGAGGCTTTAAGACGTATGTTGCGGATTTGCGTAGTGATCTGTGCAAAAATCAAGAAGAAGAATAAACGGGTTCGGGAGTTGATAGGAAGACGAGAGGGTGCTTTAGTCAATACTAATGAAAGAATTAGCAAATGAAGGCCCCCAATCATATTTTGAAATAATGAGGATAACCGTTCCAAAATTTGATGAGTTGTTGGATATAGTATCACCACTGGTATATAAAAAAGATAAATTTAAGAGGAAGGCAATTTCATGAAAAAAAAACTGGAAATAGCTTAAAGATACATGGCAAGTGGGGACAGCGTCGATTTCAAGGTTAGCTACTACCGACTACTTGCCCCAAAAGTTGAACATGTTCGACTTTCCTCACTCGCCGCTTCTTACTATGTCACACACAGCGATTAGTAGCCGCTACTCTATTTGCGGCGAGTAAACTCGCCATGTGTGACAGAGCCTTAAGTTTTAAAAACAATTGACTGTCCCGGATTTTTAGTCATGTTGATTTATACTTTCAAAATCAAACATGTCTACTTTAATTCCAAATTCATGTTTGTGTTAAAATACACACAGTTGTAATTTAAAACACCCCCACTGCAGCAAACCTGCTGACAAAGCAAAATTCCAATTTCCCTAATTGGATTCCTACTAAAAATTTATTTCCCAGTTTGCATAACATTAGATTTATGATTTAAAGTAATTAGGTTTGCTGCTATGGGGTTAAGTAAAAGTGTTTTTCTACAAAATGTTTAGTTATAGGTGAAGTAAATAAATTAACCAAATTTTGGGCGACATATATCTATAAGCAAGCAAACTACAAAAGTTTACTTAATTTCCATAAAAATGGCATGGGAATTTTAAATTTGCAGTTTTTGGAATTGAAACTCATTCAAGTTTCTCACGCCCTAAACCTTCAACTCTAATTTCATGAAAATCGGACCAAAACTAATCGCATTATTGTGTTCACGGACACACATATGCATATAACAATTCGAACCAATAGTGTTTTTAGCCTATGTAGACATCAAAATGAAAAAGCAAATCGGTCCCGTGCCTAGGTCTTACCGTGCCACAGTAATGGCTAGGCAAAAAATCTAGATTTGTTTAGGTGGAAATGAAAATAGAACATCTGGGCATTCTGAATTTTTAATTAGAAAAGTAAACAAACAAAGGTAAACCAAGTTTTATTGCGTTTCAACCAAGTAAATAATTAAATGTTTAAGTATAAGAGTAAATCAATTAAATTGTGTTTACTGTAGTTAATCTTGTATATCAGCTAATTAAACGTATAAAGGTCATGCGTACTACAAATATTGCATACTAAATCAGTTTAAATTAGGCCTAATATGTAAATAATACTCCATTCACATAATATCCACTAGTAAAGGTATTAAATGTTTATTTAATAGAATTGGGTAGTTGCATTTTTTTACGCCTCCTCACACACTGCGCCTCTGCGAGGTTAAAAAATCAAGCAGCAGGCACAGTAAACTTAATCCATGATCCGGCGTTGGACATGTACAATGGGAAACAATGCCATTGTTTGCGCTTCCGTTGGTAATGCAGATTTTTAGGGCTCCTCGATATTGCCGCTAGGAGCAGCACACTACTTGGCTAAAAAATTCTCATGCTAAACTCCATATGGTTGCCTATCTCTTTATATTACTTCATCTATGGTACCGGTACACAACTTTAACTTAAGTAATTAGGTAGCCTTTAAGACTATCATTATGCAATGGTTGCGTAAACTACTATTACATAAGCTTGTTTCATGGACATATTGAGTAAACAAATACCACTTAATAGTTTTATGTTTAAAAATGTATAAATGGAACTATTGTATTTCATCATTCAACTGTATCATAGTTATTATGTCTCAAATTAACAGTGAAATTTCCAAAATTTTGTACATAAATCTGATACCACAATTCGTAATTGCCTATAAAAGCGATTTTTTAGTAACACCAATAAACATATGGTGTTTTTAATACTGGCATGTTTAAACCTCTAACATTATTTTTTTATATTAAGCTGATTTTGCTTTTATATATCCTATACTATTTATTTTATTTACACATTGAACCTTAAGAAGACTAAGGGCTAGATCAAAAGGGAGTCCAAGAATGGGAGTAGAAAATAAAAAGTCCTGTCAGTGTGTAGAACAACCTCCAAAAGTTAAATTGCGATTTGATGGGAGATTTTTTAACATACAAAAGACAAACGGAGACGACATTGGCATTTATTGCTTTTTATTTGTTTAAGCTTACTTATATTTAAACTCCAGTCCGTACGCTGGCCAAGTAAGAACATGTTCTAAATGAAGGGGTAAAATTGTAGCGGGGTCCTTTTCCGGTCCGTCCAGTTTTGAGATGGTGATGGATTTAATCAAACCACTTGTGCACACACCAAAATCAAATTTTCATGGTAGAGCACGATTCCGACATTTACCCACCGATTACATTGAGAAAATGAGACGTCATCGTGAAGTCACTGTATCTCCAGGTGGGCACAATTCTGCCACTCCAATCAATGTAATAAATTTGTATCTTTTTCTTTTGGAATAAAAATATTTCATCCTGAATTTCTTGTTCAATATATTTATATTAATGTGTGTTCATATTATTTATATTAATGAGTGTGTATGAGTCAGTTTGGTTTTGAAAAATATTAATGACACAGTCATGAAAAATTGATCCTCTAAAATTTACAGTATGATTCAGTCTTTAAAATATTACCTTTAGGAAAGGTTAACTTTATCTAGATTCAATTCAATTCAATTCAATATTTCTTCATTCATTGAAGCACAAAGTACATGAATAGTGTCATTCTCTTAAATGTTTCTATATTACAATGTTATATTCTATGGATACAAAGTTCTTAAAATCTAACATAAGTTTTTACAAATTAAAAATTAACGCTCCTTCTAAAATTTTAAAGTTCATCAAGGGAATACAATACCTTGTTGATGAGAAATGTTTTAAGATCCCTCTTAAATCCGACCATGCTTTTTGCCGATTTAATTTAATTTGGAATTTTGTTGTAAAATTTGGAGCCGGTATAACTTGGTTTTTTACTGTAAAGTTCTAATCTGTGGCAGTTTAGAGCAATGTTGGTTTAGTTTCTGGTATTGTAGTGGTGGTGTTCACCAGTTAACGCCAATTGAGAAAATCTGTTTTTAACATATAGAACTGTTTCATAGATGTACAATCCATATCATTACTGTATTTCATTATCATTATTTTTAATGATCTAAAATGCTCTTTTGAAGTTCTCGAGTCAAGGTCCAAAATAATTCTTATAGCTCGTTTTTGTAATTTTAGGATTGTTTCTAAGTTATTGATAGATGTAGCGCCATACAGAGATATTCCAAAAGAAATAACAGAATGTATGCACGAAAAGTATATTGATTTTAATGTTACTTGATCAAGAAGATTTTTTAATCTAGTTAATGCAAATAGACCAGATACAGTTTTTTTTATTACTTTGTTTGCGTGAGAATTCCAAGTTAAATTTTTGTCAATTTCAAATCCTAAGAATCTAATATTTTCTAATTCTTCAATAGGTTTCTGATTAATTTCTAGTGAAGGATTAATTGAAAGTCTTGTCTGACGGGTCTCAAAATTTATGAACTTTGTTTTATCTGGATTCAAAAGTAACTGATTGTTTTGGAAAAAATTTGAAAGTATATCTAGATTAGCATTAGCTGTCTTTTCAATTTCCTCTTTAGAATTAGCGGTAACTGTAAGATTTACATCGTCTGCATAAAGGTAAAGTTTGCTAGATTTAGTCAGCCCTGGTAGGTTTGTAACATAGCAAATGAATAGAAGGGGACCCAAGATGGATCCCTGTGGTACACCATGTTTAATAGTTCTAATTTTTGACTTGTGAGTAATTTTCATTTGATTATTGAATTGGATAGTTTCTACAAATTGTTTTCTATTACAAATAATGTATGATTCTAGCCATTGAAGAGATTTATTTTTTACTCCGATGCTAGACAATTTATTTAAAAGTAGATTGTGGTTTATAGAGTCAAATGCCTTGGTTAAATAAATGAAAATACCAAGAGCCTTTTGTTTTGCATCCAAACAATCAATAACTGACTCTAAAAACTCTGTAGCAGCTGTCACAACTGATCTACCACTTCAAAATCCATGTTGACAGTCCTCAAAAAGGTGATTACTTTCCAGGAAGCTATATAAACGGTTGTACATGGCTTTCTCAAATATTTTGGACATGGCCGGAAGCAGAGCAATTGGACGGTAGTTTGATAATTCATATCTATCTCCTTTTTTGAACAATGGAATTAATTTAGAAATTTTTAGTTTATTAGGAAAAATGCCTGATACAAAGGAAGAATTTACTAAATGAGCTATAGGTTTTCTGAGGGGTAATTTTGCTTTTTTGATGAGCACCACAGGGACCTCATCATAGCCGGTGCTAAATGAGTTTTTAAGATGACTTATTATTTCGTCTATCTCTTTCTCATCAACAGGTATACAATGAAAACCCGGAATTATATAATCTGACTCAACTACTTTTACACTGTCCTTTACATCCCTAACAAGTGAATCCAAATTAGGAACAATGTTTGTGTCAACCAAATCAGTAAAATAATTGTTAAATGAATTACATATAACATAAGGGTCTGAACAACATTGATTGTTACTATGAACACTAGTAATGTGGTTATCTGCTTTTGCCTTACCGACTTCAGAGTTAATAATTTGCCAGCTGGTTTTGTTCATGTTACTTGAGTTGTTTATTTTATTTTGATAATATAGTTTTTATCAATCACTTTCCTTTTGATCAATTTAAACTTCAATCGTCATAGAATGACAAATACCACAGCTCCAATCCTTTTCACAAAAGGTTGAAGTGGGCCAAATATGTCTAGTTTCTATTTAAACATGTCATTCAAACATGGACAAAATTTATTGCAAAACACCTTCCAAAAAACATAAATTCAAAAACAGAGGAATATAAGTTTGACAAAAGTAATAACTAAATACATTCCTTAAACAATTAAAATTAATTCAAGTTTAGGAAAAGTAAATGAATAATTCTAACTTTAAGGAACAATACATTTGGTATTTATTATTAGCACCTAAATGAAGGAAAAATGTTTACATAGGTTACTAAAGGGCAGAATAGTCAGCAGTGGGACAGATATCCCTATCCACAATTTTAGAAATGCACTTGTACATTTTTGCCATTCACATATGTACGGTGGATGTTCCGATCGTCTCCCATATAAATGAACTTCTCGAACAGTTCACTAATAGAAAGTTGAGGATTCAAAGTCATCGGGTAGTTTCTTGTGTCCACCACCATGGCGTCAAACCATTTGCCAACTTCAAAATTGCCTAACTTGTCCTCCATATCTAGTGCTGTAACACATTCAAAAAGTAAGATAGGTATGATAGGAAATAACAAAATATGATTTTGAATTTGAATTATTTACCAAATACTCAAAAATAGGCTAGGTACTCAAAAACCTACCATTAGGTCTTGTTTGTAAAATGACAACAGGGAAATTTAAGCTTCACCTCATGCAGTCTCTAGCCCTGCCAGTGTTTACATATTATTGTCTCCCTGCTTAAGGAAAAAGCATCTCTGGAGAAGACATGAACTGAATGCAGAAACTGCAAAATTCTGCTATTTGCTTCATATTTGGCCTCAGAAAATTTGAACATATCTCTCTATTCAGAGCTGTAGCGAGGATGACAACAGTAGACACTGTTTGCAGGATCATGACGTGCTGCATGGTGCTCTTGTCCTATAGGAGCCACAGTACCTTCTTGAGAGGCTCTCTTTCCGGGAGGAGGTCTCTAAGCGGAGTACCCGCTATGGAAGTCTCCAGCTTCACTTTCCAAGAGTGAGGCTAGAGTTTCGAAAAAGCTTCTCGTACTTTGGCCCAAAGCTGTACAATGACCTCCCCTCTGGCCTTTATCATCATTTAGAATTAAGATCAAAGAATTGTATAATGATGGTTAATTTTTGTTATTTATATTGTCTTGATTCTGTTTTGTTGTTGGTCTATTTATTTATTTGTTAGTTCAGTATTGTTATTGACGAAAGTTGTTCTGAGTGTTCTGAGAAGCAGTAGTTGTACTGAGAAACGCTTGATTAATAAAGGCATTTTTATTTTATTTATTTAAATGTATTACAGGAAATAAAATACTTATAAATACTATTCATTCAGATTTCAAAAATATGTTGATAGCCATTTTTATCTCCCTAGATAGGCTTTGGGCCTATGCATACATTATGTTAAGCAATGTAAGAGAATAAAGTCAAAACAGTAGAAGCAAGTATAGAACTCAACAACCCTTGAGTTAACAGTGGAATTTAAGCCAATTACATAGCTGCCATGCTGCAATACCAGCTCACTAACACATAAATAAATTAAATAATTTCTTGATCGTTGTATGTGTTATTTAATTGACAGAAAATAAATATAAATGTGTCTGTTAACTCACAAGACGGTAAGTAAATATAATACTGCCACTGCAGCAAACCTGCAGACTTAGTAAATTTCCATTTGTCTGATTGGATTTTCATCTTTCTACAGCTTTAGACCTTTTTCGGGGTGTTTTCAGGACTCTCATTGACTGAACACTTGTAGGAATGATGATACATTTATCATTCTCAGAACTATTTACAAAAACTATTTACAATGCTATTTACAAAATGTCTTCTGTCTCGTAAACCCATAGACCAGGCCAATCAGTTAGGAGGTCCTTTGACATCTGGGTTTATCGGCTCCAGACCCCTCTGTCCTCACGATGTCGCCAGTCTCGCTGTCAGATGCGGACTGCTGTCCCTCCCACACGGCTCTCTTCTTTAGTAGTGGAGCTGGACCTCTACATCCCCCTTCCAAACGGATTCATGGTTCCGGGAGGCATCTCCTTTGCCAACTAGGGACTGAAACTGAAATAAACGGATGTCGGAGCTCAACACGCCAACTAACTGCACCGGGCACAATACACCTCTAGTGCGGGGTGTAACGGGCTCAACCTGCCTCTAGTACGGGGACGGGATGCACCGAGCTCAACACACCTCTAGTGCGGGGGTGCCGGGGCTCAACACGCCTCTAGTGCATACCCCACGGGTGGAGCCAACCGGCGTGGTCTGATGAAGTCCGAAGTAAGGTGCTTAGAGGGTGGGGGGAAGTACCTAGTACCGGCCCCCCGGCGAAAGTACTGGGCACTTTTCCCTCAGTACTTTTCCCTCGGGTCACTGAGCACCTTTTCTTGGTGCTTTGGTGTTTTTGCCCATATTAAATTAGAATAGAATAGATTTATTGGTCATTCAGTAATTACTCTATAATTACAATAAACAGGGCCGCCCCGAGGGCGGGGCGAGCGGGGCGACCGCCCTGGGCGCCGCGGCTAGGGGGGCGCCGCGGCTTTGGTAGGTAAAAAATTTAACAACGTTATCGGCAAACAGTGAACGAATATTTTCCGGGAACTCGTAAACATGTAATCAATGACAATGACTATTTAAAAAAGACAATATTTAGCTTTCGTTTTCGTTTTATTCGTAAAATTAATACTGTTATTTAATATACAACTCGTACTATTACTAGGCCTACTTTTACGTCTGCCGTGTTGGCAATACTGCGAGTCCGAGACATACACACTGCGCATTCACCCACACGCACCTACACTTGCTCGTTTCTAACCTCAAATTTAGTTCAGTGTAGTTGAGTTAGTCTATGGTAGTTGTTACGTTACGATTAGCTCAGTGGTTGTGCAAACTTGAACTGTTAATAAAGACGTGGTTTTGACGATAAGTACAACATGTAACAGTGATATTTCCTTAGGCCTATAGTAGGATTACTACAAAGTGAATGACTGTTTTAAATAACGATGTCTAAAAAACTTTCTGGAGCGCAAAGACGCAAGTTAGTTCGAGAAGAGGAGGCTGCGACTGAAGCACTTCTGAAAAAAGTCCCAAAGCTTACATCCTATTTTGCTCCTTCCAGTTCTTCGGCTGTAATAATTAGTGAGCCTGAACATGTCTCAGTAAACGTGAGTACACCTAATGAAGTCCTTCCAGATTCAGTTTCGATTGAAGAAAATATTAATGAGAATAAAAAGTTGTCGATTTCATCTCCTAAAACCGTCAACGTAGGCCTAATCAATTCAGATCCATCCTCTTGGCCAGATATCATTAATAGAGATGAAAGAGACGAGTTAATTTTAAAAGGGCCTATACCGTTAAAGGCTGATAATGATTATCCAAAAAATGCCCAAAAGAGACATTTTTCTAATGAACACCAATTTCGATGTGCGGAAAATGGGGAAAAGGTAAAACGAAAATGGTTGGTGTATTCTGAAGGCACCAACTCAGTATACTGCTTCTGTTGCCGACTTTTCGAGCCTAATTCAAAGTCACAACTTGGTCAAAAGTCAGGTTTTAATGATTGGAAACACCTGGCAGAGCGACTTCGTTTACACGAAACCACACCAGAGCATTTCAAAACTATGACTATCTGGTTTGAAGCCGAGCTACGTTTAAAAAAATGTATTTCGGTGAATCATGCTCTATCGGACCAAATTAGGAGAGAGACAGAAAGATGGCAGGAAGTTTTTAAGCGCCTTGTCGCTATAATCTTATATTTGGCAGAACATAATATCGCTTTTCGAGGGTCATCTTCAAAGCTATTTACTAAGAATAACGGCAATTTCTTAGGTCTGATCGAGCTGATAGGACAATTCGATGGTGTCATGTCAGATCACTTGCGAAGGGTAACTAGTGCCTCCTCCCAAGTGACTCTTCTAGGAAATAATATTCAAAACGAGCTAATTTGTCTTTTGGGATCTGAAGTAAAGAAGGCTACAATCAGAAAAATAAATAAATCCAAGTATTTTTCTGTAATCTTGGACAGCACTCCAGATATAACCCATAAAGACCAGATATCTCTCACAATCCGATATGTAACAGAACAAGATGGAATAAGTGGTGATGTAGCCGTTGAAGAAAGTTTTATTGGATATAAAGTGGCAAAAGAATCAACTGGAGAAGCTCTCTCAGAGCTGTTGTTCGCTGAAATTGAAAGTTGCCATTTAAACATGAATGACTGCCGAGGACAAGCTTATGACAACGGTGCTAATATGGCTGGTGTAAACAAAGGTGTTCAGGCTAGAGTCTTAAAAGAATATCCTCGTGCTTCGTTTACACCGTGTACCAGTCACAGTTTGAATCTGGTAATATCTGATGGTGCAAAGTCGTCTGTTAAGTCAACCTCACTGTTTGGAATAATTCAGAGGATCTACACTATATTTGCGGGATCGACAAAACGCTATTGTATAGTGAGTGAACACGTCCAATCACTAACTATTAAACAAGTTTGTGAAACTCGCTGGGAAGCGAGGATTTCTTCCATTCAGGCTATCAGGTACCAGTATGCTGACGTTAGACAAGCATTGATTGAACTTGCAGACAGTGTTGAAGACCCTAAAACAGCATCAGAAGCTCAGTCTCTGATATCGCACATGGAAGATTTTTCTTTCTTGACTTGTTTAATTGTTTGGCACGACCTTCTGTTTCAAGTTAATCTTGTAAGCAAAACATTACAAGGGAAAATGACTGATTTAACATCAGCCAAAAGGCTGCTTGATAATTGCCAAGCCTTCCTAGGGTCTTTTCGAGAATCAGGGCTTGTAGATGCAATCATTTGTGCTAAGGAGATTGCCGAAAGTATTGGAACTGAGCCCGTTTTCCCGAAAAAGCCTTTAAGGAAGAAAAAGAAACAGTTTTCTTATGAAGGGCCAGATGAAATTAACGGTACTCCACAGGAACTCTTTAATAGGGATGTATTTTTGCCCCTTGTTGATAGTGTAACCACATCTCTTACTGAACGTACTGAACAGCTGAAAAAGCACCATTCTTTATGGAGCTTTTTGTATGACCTTAGCAAGTTGCCAGAAAAAGAGGAGTTGAAGAAGTGTTGCCTGAAACTTCAAGAATTTCTTACATTTGATAACATTAGTGACATAAACGGAAATGACTTGTATAATGAAATTATCCACGTGAAAAGCATCGTTCATGATGAACATAAAACAAATGAAGCGTTATCTCCCATCAAGGTGCTAAAGAGTATTAAGTCACATGACCAAAAAGATCTATTTACAAACTTGTGGATTGCTCTAAGGATATTGCTGACCATCCCCCTAACTGTAGCAAGTGCTGAACGAAGTTTTAGCAAGTTAAAACTCATCAAGACGTATCTGCGATCCACTATGACGCAAGAAAAGCTGAATGCATTGGCAATTTTATCGATAGAAAATGAGGCGGCAAAACAGTTAGACTTTAAAGACATTTTAACCTCTTTTGCAAATGCCAAAGCTAGGAAAATTCCATTGGGTGTAAATTAATCTTGTATTATGGTTTCAAAGTTGTATCTATTGCCAAAAGATTTATCTACATAAGTTCTGTTTGTTATAATTTCAATATTATAATGATACGTTTTTGTAAATAAAGTGTTGTGTTTCTTAATAAATGGTATACATTTTTTTTAAACAATTTCAAAGATTTTCGTCTCTAATGCTTTTTCATATACTTTTATGGCAAATTATGTTAGCAAAAGTTCGGCATTTTGTAAATAATAGAGTTATTTTTAAATGCTAACAGCGTGCATTTACTAACATTATTGTTTACATTGACCGTCTATGGACCCATTCCTATATTTAAACAAACTGAATACTGTATGTAAAGGATTTAAAAAATACATGGATAACGTTCGATATCGATGAACCCTCTATCGACGCAAACCCCCGAAATACCTTTGTTTAGGAGGGGCGAAAATTTAAATCTTGCCCCGGGCGTCTATAGCCCTCGGGGCGGCCCTGACAATAAACTTCGTCAAGTTAAAATAGCTATAGCTAAAAAACAATAGATAGTAATAAATACACAGAGACATAAATTAATAATCTTTACCTACTTTAAAAATCACATCCCATTATCACTAAATCAAAAAATCATTAATGTGAAATAAAGGAATACTTTGAAGCCAAACATATAATTTACTTGGTGTTATGAATCTTGGACTTGTGATCCTCGATTGGAAATCATTAAGCTTATGAAATTTTGTATTTAAAGTACTTGGTTTTATTTAAACTTAGGGTTATGAACCTTGGTGTTATAAACGCTTGGACTTATGAAACTTGGCCTTATGATCTCTCAGTATTAATTTGTATCAGTTTACTTGAAAATCTTTACGCTTGGGGTTATGAAATTTTATATTTTAAAGCACTTGGTTTTTTTTAAACTTGAGGTTATGAGCCTTACCCCTTCAAAATACTAAATTATTTTTTTAAGCTCTACAAAATGAGTTGGAGAGGAATGGGGAAATTCTATGTTTTGACCCCAAAAGTAAGAAAAATCTCATTTTACCCCTTACAACCTCATTTCCAAGTTCCAATTATGCTGGTTCGCAAATTTAGTTTGAATACATGTAGGTTTACATGTTTGAACCAAAATTCATAAAAATCAGAAGACTTTCGCTAAAGTTATCATGCTGAAGGACACAAACACACACATATATAGGCCTATATATGAATTTGAACGGATGGTGTTTTTGGCCTCTAGGGACATTGGAATAAAAAGGAAATTTTTAAGGCCCAGGTTTTACCATAAGACCTATGGTAATAGCTTATTCCCAATAAGGAAAATTCGCTAAAAGACGAGAGTGGTACTATAAAGTGAGTGGTGATCGGTTTCGATTGGACACTCCATTCATTATCAAACCCAATAGGCGATACCACTTAAACCATTTTATATATTTTTTTACCATCTTGTGAGTTAACAGTATAAGTGTATGTTTCAAGTGTTATTAGAGGTATTTATATTTTACTTTCTGTAATAGTAAATTAAGACGATAATAAAAATATAAAAAAATCAGTTAAAATAGTTTATGTAAGCTATGTATCAATATGAAAACTGTGTTCACCTCTTCTACATTATTCATCTACAATTTTCGGAGTCGTATATCCACCTATGGTGCACACAAGATGACAGCCACCAGGATTATGGTTTAAAATACAAATTGTATAGTTAGTATTATTTAGCTCTGATTAGAAGATTGAAGACATTTTCCATCACTGATTGAAAATGTTTCACAAGACTTGGGTTCTAGAATTTGATTTATTCTTTAGGAGGGTATAAACCTAGAACAGGGGAATGTTAGTAACTTAACTTAACTTGACAACAGTTGACAACACACTTATTTGAACAGTCAAAAGGGGAATTGAACTAACAAGAAGATAAGTGTATTGAGTTGTTGAACTGTGTGGTTGTGATCATGTGTAGGGACGTTGGGAGGTATCAGTACCATTTCAGATCACTAAAATATTGCAATAAAAGTATGGATACCATATGTATACAAGTTTTAAGCCAAGGGCTAAGAATAACTTAAGAGTGTAAAAAATTATTACTTATTCATTAATATTTAATGACTGCTAAAGGACGTTGACTATTGAACAGTTTATAAACTTTTTAAAATCTCACCAACCCTTTTTTCTGTTGGATTTGTTGTTATAGATTAAAAATTATTTAGGTTAACTCCTTCGAATAACTTTTGTGAAGCAATCAACTTTGGTTTAAAAATAAATATAAAATATATTTTCAAGAAAAACTAACTAAATAACTGCATATTTTAGTTTTTTAACAATAATGTATCGCTTGATTCATTGCCATACCAAATGTATGTATACCAAATGCGATACCAATACCATAGGTATCAAAAAGAAAAGAATCTATACCTACTGTTATAGATTGTATCACGATGTCCCTAATCCTCTGTCGAGTAGACAGATCTGATTAATCTGTTTTGGCATTTTTCATGTTGACTGCTCTTAACATTTATTATTTACGATTGTATTTACTTGCACTGTCCAGTTCGTTAATCAAACTTGTAGTTTTCCTTCCTACATTAGGATAGGGTCAGATTCCAAAGCATCGTGAAATTTGTGTTGGAAAATGCCTCCAATAATAACTAACAAAGAAATTTAATCAAAAAATGATTTACCTTTTGCACCTCCCATAGTGGCAAGGTAAAATGCTTCGTGATATGATAAAGGTGTGTAGTCTGGATAGATAAATGAAAGCGCAATGGACGTATTGATGCAACTTCTCATCGTGTCTAGCATGGAGTGACTTGACCCTCCGGCTACGTCTGTAATCAGGTTCATTAAATAATAAAAATAAAACCACAGGTTCCTCATTTCTGGTTAACCTACTTCACTATTATTGTCAGTTAACCTTTATTCTACTCTTAAAATATGTGTTAAAATCATCTATGAACACTTTTTTGAATCCAAATACAAAACCTTTTTTAGCTCAGCGCCAGAAAAAAGAAAAGAAATACAAAACCAAAATGTTATACATTTTGAAGCTCACCAAGAAGCACAAAGAAGAGAAATCAGGACCATTGAGTAATTACAGAAAATAAAACAACCTCCATCACTATTTTTCCCCAAAATGTTCAAGGCTTTAGGAAAAAGATAGAAAGAATAAATCATCTAATGAGTGAACTCAAACCCACTATCTTAGCTTAGTGTAACATATCTTAGCTCAGATATGTTATTACTCACCAAGATTAGTGGCTACAACCTAGTCACATATTCCAGCAGGGAAGATCATAGAATGGGAGGGGTTACAATACAATCTATATCCAGGAAACTGCTGCCATCAAGGCAGAAGAAATAGAAATCTCCAACCAAAGTGTAGAATTAGTTTTTGAAGAAGCATTAGTGAAAATAAGGATAAAGAACAAAAACCATGTATAGACCACCTAGCTAGGGGGACTAGCTTGGTTAGCCATTGACATCCTAAGAAGTTCTGGTGTCACTTCAAGCTGACACCAAGGACTTTATTTTTTATTTAATATAATTTTTAGAACTATGAAACAATATAAATAATCATTTAATTTGGAATAATAATAATTTATTATAACCTACTTTTAAATGGTAGGCCGATCATTTAAATATTCGATTCAAACTTCCAACCTAATTTAGAAATTTCTAATAGAATCGAATATCCCAATATTTTATTAGAAAAAGTTCGAAAATCGAATATTCGCACACCCATAGTGGTAAGGGTCCAAAATGGTGGAATTTTCACTTGAATTGGTGAGATTTGTGATGCCTCTGGTGTACTAGGTGTTGGGGAAGATTCTTGAGTATTCATGTTGGTCTAATTGAATTAATGACAATAACCAGTATAAATTGGGGTCACCAAATAAGGCAAGTGCCTTATATAAGTATACTAAATTGAAATAAAATAATTAAAAGGAGAGATGTCAAATCATAGAAACACTTTTTTATAATAAGAAAGAACAACAAAATAAATACAAAACATGAATTAGTCCAGCAGCTGGCTATACTTTAGTGTGCAAACTTGCGTATACTCAATATTCCTTGCATAACGTTTTAGTTTGATGTCTAGGGAGTTTAAAAAACCTGGGTGTTTACCTCCTACCCCCCACGTTTTCCGGCTATGACGTAATCAAAATGGCGGCCATTGATTTTTTTAAAGCATATATTTTGCAAACTATTTGTCGGAACGGAATGAACTTTTTTTGTTTGAAAGATAAGTTTAATTGCTATCTGTTTTACATTTACAAATTTGTTGTATATTTGGTAAATTTTTCATAATTTTGCAAAAACCTGTATTTTTAAATATTTTTCTGTTATTTTTGTTTGTAACGTTTTATTGATACAATATATAAAAAATCACCAATGGAAAAAGTTGTAGAACGTTTAAAAAGCTTTAAAAAAATACCAAATTCGATATGTTTTAGGCCGGTGACACACTATCCTGTTAAGCAGGATGCGTTTGAGCGGGATGCGTTTTTACCGCATTGACATTGCCCTGTCACACTTGTCCCGTTCTACCGCAACGCAACATTCTTTGGAGTGAAGAGCGCGAGCACTACATGCAGTGCACTGTTGATAGCGACAACATTACGATGAAAGTGAAATTTGTCTGTGCTCTTGAAGCAAGTAGGTTGTTGCGAAAACCTTAAGTAGGCGTACACCATTTTCATTGCGAAAATAATAGAGATGAACAGTTTAAGTGTTTATCAAAGTATAAGGCAATATCCTCGCAAATTTTTTTTTTAATTATTGTAGAATATCCATCCAATCTTTTGATGAGCTGCTGCGCGTTTCGAGGCAACATTTAACGAAAATCAGTACACAATTCAGGAATTCAATCAGTGCTGAAGAAAGATTAACGATAACAATAAGGTTAGGACAATAGTTTTATTCTTTTCAGATTTTGTTAAATTTGTATTTATTTTAGGCTACCCATTTATTTATTTTTCGGTTGAAGAAGTGCGTTCAAGTCAAACGAACAGTAAATAAAAAGCTTGTACAACAGTTGGTAGATTAATTTAAATTTCATAAAATGTGTCCATGTTGAACATGCTAAACCCGCGCGGCAAAACAGGACAGTGCCGCAACCGCATCAATGTGACAGCTCCCATTAAAACCCATGAGTTTGAATCATCCCGCCAAACGGGTCCCGTTTAACCGGACCTGCAAAACGGGATAGTGTGTCACCGGCCTTACTCAAAAGATTAGAAGACCCTTGTGCTACAAGAACTGTGTCACTTGTGCTCCTCAGTTTTCTTAAAGTTTTGCCAGTTTAATATATTTTTATACAAAGTATTTAGTACCAATTTCATCAGTTTGAAATTTTGTGCAAAAGTATGCAACCAGTTTTTCTTTAAAGTAACCGGTTTTTATAAAATCAAGGTTTTTCCAAAATATTACAGGATTATTTTAGTTATCAGTGAATAGATGGGACCAGAGATAAGGCCTCAGAAGTGGCAGTGAGTGTGGTGAGTGTTTGACCTTTGTACCTGCAACTGATATCCAGCCCACTTACAAACCTGCCTTGGATACTTCAGCTTCAGTCTCATAATCTGCAGATTTGTTTACATTGAGAACTGACCCTTCACCTGAACTTCCACTGAGCTGGACTATTATTAACTTTCAGCACCATATACTTCCCTGTATTATTTTAAGAAAAGCAGTTTATTTTCATTTATTTAAGAATAGCAGGGAGAAGTAAAGTATTATCACAAAGGACTTTATTATTTTGATTTTATCTACAAAACTATTTATTTCATATTTTTATTATAGACAAATATACCTATTTTTATTTTTATTATTGCTGACAAATATATTTATTTATGGACTTAAAACAATTAAAGTATTTTGTTATAACTACTTGCTACATGGATTTTGAATGAAATCAAATTGACACTGTTTAAATAAATTAACATTCTGGTTTTGTCCATTATTCATTGTCAAGTTTTACATTATGAATACTAGTCAAAACAAATACAAGTATGGAATTGGAGATAAAGTGTTTGCTAAGGTGAAAGGCCATTCACCTTGGCCGGCTATTGTTGACAGCCATGAATCTAACTCAAAATACAAAGTGAAATTTTATGGTACATCAGAAATAGCTTATGTTAAGGAAATTGATGTTTATCTATACCTAGAAAATAAATCTCGGTTTGGTAAATTAAAAAGCAAAAACTTTACAAAAGCCATGAAGGAAATTGAGCTGTCATTTGTTAGCAGTAAATCTTCAAACAAGTCTAAAATTAAATGCTCAAGTAGTGATGCGATTTGTACAAGTGAATCATACGTAAAGGAAGGACCTGCAGCATCCAGCAGTCCTTTGTTGACAAACACCCCTTTAAATGTCAATGATGTATCCGTTAGCTATAACGATACCCAAGTTAACATAGAAACTACTACATTGAGTTCCCAACATCTGCAAGAAAGCCCTGCCATAGAATTAAAATCCACACCACCCCAACCCACAACCAATTTAATAGAAGAAGGAACAACTAATAAACTTAGTCTTTCTCTTTTAAAAAATGAGTGGTTAACTGATGATACAATACAAAGATATTTTGATCTGTTATTGAGTAACGTAACTAATCAAACAAACATCGTGCTTATGAATCCAATGATTGCTCAATCAATCAAATGCCTGCAAGATTTTGATTTTACCCTGGAAAACTTATGTATGGAAACAAGCACACATATTTTTATACCAGTGAATGACTCTCCAGCTGTAGATAAACCAGGTGGCTGTGGCTCCCATTGGAGCTTATTGGTGTACGTCACAGGAGAAAAAAAGTTTTTGTACCTGGACTCAGCCGGATCATACAATTATATACATGCAGTAAAAATTGTTGAGTCACTACAAAAGTATTTCAAATGCACAGAAGAAATAGAAATATGTAATGTGATAATACCAAGACAATTAAATACCCACGACTGTGGTATTTACATGCTGCTATTCACAGAACTTACCATTCAACTAATCCTACAGAATGTGCCTCATGATCAATGGAGACTGTGTTTTCCGGACATACAAGAAAGTGATTTGTTGACAAAGAGAGGGCAACTGGCCATGTTGTTTAACAACTCTCAAATCAACTTTACATCTAAGACAATCGCTTCAATGATGTTTAAGCCAATAATAAGTCATAGCACAACACATAAAGTCATTGATGTCAACAAATGTTCATCATCAGTTAGTTGCACTAATGTAAACTCGACCTACCAGAGCAACAAAAATGCAAAAGAAAGTAATAGTAACCAATGTGGATGGATTTCTGTTACTAGGAGAAGTGGTTTAGCTGCTTCTAAACAACAACAGTCAACAAATAACATCCTAGCCCTGTCAAATAAGTATGAACATTTGCGTCACGTTGTAGAAGATGTAAAAGAATCTACATCCAACCAATCCATAAAAAGTAATGTTGTAAAAGAAAATCACCTACTAAGAAAAATAAATAACACTCTGGATGGTCAAAACAATACACTCAGTATAACTTTTTGCTCGGACAGCCAAGGAAGAAATGTGCAAGCAAAAATTGAAAGTTTAAGCAACAACAGGATAAAGGCCTTTGGATACGTCAGACCCAATGCGGGACTACTTCAAATAATTGAACCCTCAGTCATTGAAACACAGAATCCACTTGTTATTATGGGAGGAACAAATGAGTATTTGGACAACAAATTAAACTCTGTTCATGAAAGCTTGGAGAGTAAGTTATCTCACGTTTGTAAAACAAAACCTACTTTCATCACAACTGTTCTCAAACGTTTTGATGTACCGATTACGCAAGATGATGCTCAAAGG